AGCAAAATGATGGACAATTTAATTAGCCCCAAAATCGTTTCTATATTACCTTTTTACATAGGATCGGTTTTCTTCTCGATATTTTCAATTAAAAGCGTTCATCAGAATGACGGCAAATACTCCAGCCCTGTTATAATGCCAATTTAAACTTATCATTAGGAAGCAATAGTGTAGCGATATCACTAAAAAGTTACCGTCGCCCAAACTGTAACATTTCCTTATACATAATCTTCCTATTTAATGGCATAGACTGTCAAAACATTAACAACTTCATGTTCCCCAAAACAGAAAATGACTTTCCTGGAAAAACGTTTAGCAAATGTGATTAGATCATACACGATACCATGTCATCGACTAAACATTTTTCAATTTTGTAGACATGGTTTTTTGGTTTTTGAGCATTCTTTGTGACAAAAAGGGCGCCCATTGGAAATGGTATTATGTGAATGAATTTTGTATATAGTTAGAAGTAAGCAAGAGGAAAAATTGACAAAATTTTTAGGTAAAAAAATTAACTGAATCGCTAGAATCCGCTAATAATGTCTTGAACTAACTTAGTGCCACATATATTCTCGTACAGTTATCGTAGCGTGCTTCTGATGAGAAACCTCGTATCAAACTCAATGCGAAGTGTTGCTAATGTTGGTAGAGGATAACGTGAAGAGGTCTCTCTTCTTTCCATCATACCCACGGATGTTCATTGACGAATGGTGCCAAGAGATGATGATGATTGGGGTGTTATGAGGTACCATACTTTAGCTGTACTCTAGAATTACTCCTAGAGTGGCAATGATCTATTCCATATAACTTCCTGGCAGTTGGAGTCGATTGCAACTCTTTGCATACATCTCTGTGTTGTAATATTCTAAACGCAGCACTTGAGGAAACCTAAAATCAAATGTAATATATCAGTTAAGAATGAAGTTAAATAGATTGGCTTGGATGGATGTGAAGTTGGCAGACAAAAATGTTGCAGACAATTTGCCGAGATACCCGAATGATTACTGGTGTCGACATCTTAAAACAGTCTCTGATTGAGAAAAATACAGAGCTGAGGGCCTGCAGTAATAAATACATATAGCCATAAAGAAATATTCAATGGACGAGAATAAGCACACTCATAGGGAGAATCATTTTCCACCGTAACTAAATAATTCGAAAGGTTAAACCCTATCTCAAATATTTCTTCCAATCAAATCACTTATAGATTATTGTATATTATGTGGTATTGAGGTAATTATTGAGCTAAAACGCATATAGTGAGTAGATAAAAAATATAAATTACAGTTCATTTTCACCTTGAAATTTTGTGAATCGAGAATTCGAGTATCTTTGATAAATTGTTTGCTTTATTTTGTCATCCAAGTTCACACCACTTTGACTTGTACTTCCCACGAATTAGTAAAAATCTCACAGAAACAAGAATTCAACAAACTTTTAAAAACGTTGATAAATATTCCCAAAATAGATTTGTACCTATTTAAGAAACAATGACAAATGGGTGTTGCAGACAATACTGGTCATCTCACAAGAAACAAGAACGTTTGAAAAAGAATGCATTCAATTTCCAAGTGTTTGTACACTGATAATGTTTGATCCTTTTGGAAACACTGTTTTGAGCAAGCTCAAAAATTGACAGAAAAAACTGAAGCTTAAATAGGTTCTGATGATGATTGTTTTTTGCCAATGTCACTTAATGATATGTTTAATTTGTGAATAAATATTAATAACTTATGTGATTTGATAGAGTTGATTAATTAAAATTTACTTCAAACTTATTGTATAATCAGTGGACTGTCCAATGTTCAAATATTTGAATAATACACAGTAAAAACTTTGTAAATAGTGGAACACAGATGTTTTTGATGATGACTATTTCGTTCATTCAATATTATCTTTCTGCTTACTTGCTTCAAATACTGCTCAGCATGTTCAACTTGACTCTACTGATTGGTGTGTTTGGGTCAAAGAAGAGAATGAAAGTTCAAATGAAACCAAACATCTTTAAAATTCACAGAACAAATTGCATGAAAATTATAATTATGAGTAAAGTATATGTAAAACAACTTAATATTGATACTGGGCCTTCCAAATGGCTAATTGACTAATCTTAATAGCAAGAAACAATTATATATGAGCTACAGTTGAAAAGCACATTATGAATAAAAATTATAGTCATCCCTCCCTACATGCCTCAGGCTCGGTTAGTAATTGTTTACTTCTCAAGCTCATAATGACATTGTAACTGTTTAGAGATGGAAGATGTAAAATTTACCAATCATTCGCTTGCGGTAGATATTTATATTGGCGAAACTTGTCTGATGATGTCTTCAATTGATAGAGCTGTATTCCTTTGTGAAGGGAGCATGTCTGTAACCACCAAAAAAGCCAAACGATCTATAGATGTCAGAGCTTTCTTCCAAACCTTGTCCATTCATTCTACAAACATGTAAAGGAATTTCATAGTGTTTGGGAATTCATTTCATATACTTTCCTGGCAACCTTTGACTACATATCTGCAGTACTGATGTTTTATTTCTGGAAAATTCAATAATGCTATCACATTTAGTGATCAGGAAAGACTATCATATGAATTATTGAATAAATTCCATAATGTTCAACACAATATTTTGAATGCTTGACACTTAGTTAACAAAGCTCTCTAATCTACGTTTAGAACACTGACCTCAAGAACAATTGCTGTATGACAGCAATGTGTGAATATCACAATATTAAATTCAACATAAATGTACATTTTTTACACTACATGGTAGATTATATGTATGTATATGATGATCTTTGATTCATTCGAATACAGACATTTATACTGCTTACTAGGTTTTTATATAGAAGAACTACTTTACTTGTTCAGCAAATGGACCATTCAAATATTATATAAGCATTAAAGAGTGATTTATAAAGTGGGGTTATTTTAGAGATTTCATGTTCAGCCAGCAAATTTGCAGTTACAACTATATTGTTACTGATACTTTTACAATATAACATTTGATTTTTAGTATCTCTGACTGAAATACCAGTGCTGTATCTATTTCTTATTCCAGTATGTTCCCATTTACTTTTTGTTTATCAATGAGGTCTATCAAAACTGCGTTATGATTTCATTTTCATTCTTTCTCAATAGAACTATCAAAATTAGATCTAAATCTATTTAAATAATGTCCTGTCTACCTTGTTATGTAGGAGAACATAGACAATCTTCTAGATGCCTTATGCACGGTTAATGTGTCCTTCCATTAATACAATAGTTGAATACTGACCACTAGAATTTGAGTTCAACAGAATTCTAGTTTGAGTAACATACAAAAGATGAATTAATTCAATCACTGCAGATGAGAATTAACTAAGTGGAATCTTATATTTTATACTTACGTATTGCAATTATATTAACTGTACACTGTCAAATTACGAGTCATATACATCATGCTAACAGTAAAGTATACACAACGCGGGCGCGGTGATGATTTTTTTCATTCTTCTCAAACTTTTTGAAAACACAACCATAACTTTGAACATAACCTCTCTTCAGAAAGAACAGCACAAATAACTCGCATGGCACAGCTAATAGATATACTTCATTAGCAGCATAGTCAGTAATAATGTTCTCAACTTATCAAATATCACTTTCTTATACACATGGAGACCAATACAATCATCCAGATGCGGTCTGCTACTCAACCAAACTTTCGTTTTTCACATTTCAAATCTACACACTACACACTACACATC